TTCACTTGAATACTTAAAGGCCATTGTAGGATTATCAGTTGGTCTCATTTCAATATTGTTGTGTCTTACAAAATAGAAAGGCCTGAAGAGAGGGAGAGATGAGTGGGTGGAGCAATCAAAACATACATCATTTATCAATTAAGTTCACTGACTTATATGGGCAGTTCGTGGTTCCCTAAAACAATTACAATATTAACGTCAAAGATCACTAATCACACATCATCATAACAGATACAATAGTAATGAAAAGGTTTGAAATATTGTGAGAATTACCAAAATGTCACATAGAGATACGAAGGGGGCACATGGCATTGGAAAAATGGTATTGATAGATTTGCTCATTGCAAGGTTGCCACAAACCTTCAGGTGCAATAAAGTGAAGCGTAATAAAATGAGATAGGCCTGTATTTGGTCGAACATCATTCTGGGTGTGTTTGCAGAAGTAACTCCTCTCTGCAGGCAGGTCCCCGTTGACTTCTCAACTCTCAGCAGAAAGGATAGCTACTCTCTGCAGCTGGTCATCCCGTCATCTCTCAGTTGTCCTCTACCATGCTATTGCTGATCCTGGGACTTTCATTGACCTCAGAGGGGAGGAAGTGCTTATGGATTGGTCCATCCATGGCCATGGGTGGGCAGAAAAAGGCACCACAAGACCCCACTCCAGTCCACCGGTGTGGCAGCCTGACCCCCAGCCTTCAGACTCTTCCTGGCCTGAGCATGGGGCCTTACAGGGACCCGCTCCCTTCCACCGAGGAGCCCGTCTGCCTCCTGACGCCTTCCATGGTGCACAGGCTGCTTGTGCCAAGGGGCACCTGCAGGCCAACGCTTCCCCCTCATCCACTCTTGTCTGGCCCAACATCCAGAGGTGGCTGAGGTGGCAGGGCTCGATCATGCGTATACCTGGCAGGGTTATGACAGTGCCTGGGCTCAGCTCCACCTACTCCTAGGTTGGATCAGGTGCAGAGAGTGGAGAGAGACCAGGCAGTAGGAGCAGGCACTTCCGAGCCTGCAATGGCAAAGGGGGCCTTCCAGGCTCTCAAGAGCACACAGAGGCCCAGGTCTACCGTCCGGATTTGGACAGCTGCAGCTGTGCCTGGGGGTGCGGGGCTCCTGCCTGCTCCCAGCCCTCAAGAGCACACGGAGGCCCAAGTCTACAACCCCGACGTCGGTAGCTGCAGCCGCGCCCAGGATGGGCAGGGCTCCTGCCTGCCCCCAGCGCACAGGAGACCCGGATATGCTGCACCGACTTTGGCGGCTGCAGCTGTGCCTAGTAGGTAGGGGCTTTCAGGGGCGCCCTGGATAGAGTAGAACGCAGGCCCTGGCTGTAGGGAGTGGCAGGCTCCGAGGTCACCCAAACGCCTGGCGGACCCCAGGGGACTGGCCCTGGGAGGCCTGCGCAGAGCCTCCTCCCGAGGCCCAGGAACTCCAGCATGCCAACTGCAGTCACGGAGCTTCCCAATGCTGAATGCACTATGGATTACATCCAGTGCTTTTAGGTACTACGTATATTTAAACGTTGTGGTTTTCGTCTCTAGAAGTTGGATTTTTTAAAGTATCTTCCACATCTATAAATTTCTGAACATATGGTAAACAGTATAATTGTTTCAATGCCATAACTTGAATCATTCTAACATATGTGTCAGTTCTGAGTCAGGTTTGATTTGTTGATTTTTTTCCTTACATCATATTTTCCTGCTTTTTTTCATGCTTAGTAAATTTTCATTGGAAAATTTTCTTTTACTGGGTATATTTGTAATCCTAGAAATATCCTTGAATTTCTTCTGGAGTAGTGCTACTAAATTACTTGGATACAGTTTGAAACTTTAGTTACTTGTTTCGAAGATTTGTTAGGTGCAACCAGAACAGTGTTTAGTTTAGAGCTAATTATTGAAACTCTTGAAGCAAGACACTTTTGATTGCTAAACTCAATGCCTCAGGAATTCTTAGGTTTTCATTCTGGCACATAAATAGCTTGAGAACCCACAAAATTCCCAGCCTTTGCATAAGCATTGGGCACTATTTACCTTAATCCATTAAGTAGTTATTTCCTCATTCTTGGATAGCTTCCTCACACACATATGCAGATCAGCGCTCAGCTAAACTCAAGCAGGGCCCTCTCTCTGTGTATTAGTCCATTTTCATACTGCTATAAGGCAATACCCAAGACTGGGTAATTTATAAAGGAAAGAGGTTTAACTGACTCACAGTTCCACATGGCTGGGGAGGCCTCAAGAAACTTACAATCATGGTGGAAGGTCAAGAGGAAGCAATGACCTTCTTCACGTGATGGCAGGAAAGAGAAGTGCAAGCAGGGAAAATGCCAGACGCTTATAAAACCATCAGATCTCATGAAAACTCACTCACTGTCACGAGACCAGAACAGGAGAAACCGCCCCCATGATCCAATCACCTCCCTCCCTCAACATATGGGGATTACAATTGAGATGAGATTTGGATGGGGACACCGAGCCAAATCATATCATTCTGCAAGTCGTGAAAGATTTTTCTATGTTTAGCATTATCTTTTCTGACGCTTTTTATGACAAATTCTGCCTTAGTCTGGTTGCTCAGTTCTGTCTCTTTTATTTCTGTTTTGTTCAAAAGTTGTACTCCTTGATATAAAGGTGAATATCTAATTTTATTTCAGCAACTTGTACATAGTTGCCATCAGAAAATATTTACCAAATAAAGGAATAAACATTTTCATCATAAGATAAACTTCATCATAGCAACAGCTCATTTAAATGATGCTGTTTTTGTTGTTTTATAACATATGCCAAATATTTTTATTTAATAATTTACTAATATTATTTTTAAGTTGTATTGGGTAGTTAATCCAAATCAACAATATGTAACTGTGATGAGAGTCAGAAAATTTCTATTGTTTCTAAAAGTATTGGGAATTATCCACTGCTCCTAGAATAAATATGATAGTAGACTTGGTTCTGATATAAATATTTTTACCTTATTGAATATGTTTTCCTACTGTTCCTACAGCACTGGGCATATTTCTATTTAATGGCTTGCTGGATATTTGCATAATTGATGTAATATTTGATAACTTTTAATATTTAATAACTTTAATGTTTTGGTAATACTTTCAGGAATACTTAAAATATTTCCTTATTAAATATGTTCAACATTGCCTTGTTTTGATTTGCTTGCTTGATAGTACAGGTACTATAATTTATTTAATGATATATTTAAATATATAGCCTTCCAAAATCTCAGGCAGCATATATGCAGAAACATTATACCTTTATAAAGTCAAAAATTTTAAATTATTTAAAGATAAAATTTTTCTCTGGCATATCTGTAATAATGAAAGTGAATCAAAATGTATTTCGAGAGCTTTGGGGACATATCTTGAGCAGCCACCCACATCAGCAAAACATTTCTCCAAGCACCCGTATTTCTATTTAAAAATACATGCGATTTTCTCAACGTAATATATCCATGTTTATTCCAATGCAGAATAGTAGTTTCAATGTTCAATTATTTTGAGTTCTATTTATACTTCTAAGTTAAACAAACAAAAACAAGAATATGTTAACATTTTTATTAAGTGACCCCAAAAACCCCACAACATTTAACCTCTGAGAAACATACTCTTTTAATAGAATAAATAAATAAATACAATAAGCATTTTTTTCATAATACATATTAGGATGTATTTTATTTCATGCCAATAGCAGACTCCATGTAAAAATGAGTCATGGGTTGGGAAAAATACTGTGATCCAAAAAATTCATAACGTCTAGGATCATTTTCCAGATTATACTAGAATTAAGGAAATGAACTCACTTTCTCTTATATAGCCACGGGCCTTCGAAAGTGTTCCCAAAAACCTTTTCTCTGTGTTCCAGCTTCTCATCTGTCTTAACACTGAGAACCACAGAAAGTGGACATGCTCACAGTACAGGAAATAGAACTTTGCACTGTTCTTTTAATGACGTGGATTTTTTGGTGAACTCACTCTATTTTGTCGTGGTATCTTTGGCTCATAGGTTTGTGAGGCAGTTTATAGCAATAGGCTATAAAAGTTTTTTTTTTTTTTCTAAATAAAGATAACAGATCAACCAAAGTTTTGAATTCCACATGGTATTCTCAAACCCCCACACTGAAATAGGACTAACTTGCCCAGTCAGGTGATGAAGAAAGTTTCCCTGTCAAAACACGTAAATTCCCACTGAGTTTGTGTCCCTAAATTAGAATTTTTTTCCATCTCAGGTTTTTCCCCTGCTGATCACTGTCCAAAGCATCTCACTGTTCATCTTTCCCCCCAGAGTAAGTTCTATGTGTATTGACCTAGGCCTCGTTGTTGTGTACCACGAGAGCATAAGACTGACTAAGGCAAAACATTTATGGCAAAAAAGAATTTTAAAAGAATTCATGGCAAAAAAATTATATTTAAAATCATCACCTCTAAATTTGTTCATTAATTTCTCTTTCCATAATTTCATCTTAATGTTTTTGAACTAATTGTCTCCTGATTCTACTTGCCACTGAGACCTTAAAAAAGCATTTGAGGGTGATAGAATTGGACATTGAATGTTAGAAGATGGCTAGATGGTGGCAATACATGTTGATCAAAATTAACTCACGATAGTACTGACATGTTTTTCTAGGAGTTGGGATCATTTCTAATTTAATTGGGATTCATTTATAAACAATTTATGCTAAATATATTTCCTAAACTTTCTAAATATCTTTTTCTCTGGATATTATACCGTTTTCCCCTACTTTAACTAGATTAACTGGTCATTAGGAAAAGGGAGAAAAAAGACTGACTTGATGGAATTCAATATTGTAAAGCAGGTATTCTAATAAGTGAAAAAATGCTACGTAGATTTTACCAAGAGTTAATTGCTTTTTTCTTAGTCTTGTTCCACTTGTGAACTTTGTGTCACTTGATACTATTCCCTCATCAATTCCATGTCTGACATCTTTTTGAAAGTCAAACATATCTATCCTTGCTTCTTAGGACTTCTTTTCAGAGATCATCTTGTCTTAATCCAAAACTCTTTAGTCAGTGATCTTCTCAGGGCAGCTTTCACATCCTTGTTTCTCAATGTGTAGACGAATGGGTTGAGGGTGGGTGTGACAATGCCATAGAAGAGAGCCATGACCTTTCCCCGGTCACGAGAATAGCTAGAGGGAGGCTGTACATACATACTGATGGCCGTGAAGTAGAAGAGGGAGACCACCAGCAAATGTGAGGCACAGGTATTGAAAGCCTTCCAGCGACTTTCAGCAGAGCGGATTCTCATTACTGCCTGAGCAATGAACACATAAGTGCCCAGGATGAGGGTGAGTGGCACCAGGAGAAGCAAAGCGCCTAGTACATTGAGCTCAGTTTCATTCACACCAGTATCAATACAGGCTAGTTTCAAAAGGGCTGGAACTTCACAGAAGAAATGGTCCAACACCCTCTGTCCACATCTTGGGGCCACCACTGTGAGAGTGGACTGGACAACGGAGTTAGCAAAACCACTGCTCCAAGTGGCAGCAGCCATGTGGATACAGCGTGTCTGGTTCATGATGACTGGGTAGTGAAGGGGCTTGCAAATGGCAGCGTAACGGTCAAAGGCCATGATGGCTAGAAGTATGGATTCAGTAGAACCCAGGACCAAAAATATATAGTGTTGGGCAACACAACCCCCATAGCTAATGATCTTTTCTGCTCCCCGGAGGTTGACCAGCATCTGTGGGACAGTGCTGGTGGTATAGCAGAGGTCCAGAAAGGATAGATTGGAGACAAATAAGTACATGGGACTGTCAAGCTGGGGATCCAGGCAGGAAACTAGGATAATGGAGATGTTTCCAAATAGGGAAAAGATGTAGGCCACCAGAAAGATTACAAAGAAGGGTGTCTCTAGCCAGGGATGGTCAGAAAATCCCAATAGGATAAAATCATGTAGCGAGCTTTGATTGTAGATCCACATGTCAGCACTGGTAGGCGAAATTCCAGCTGAGACCTCTAAATACCCACAGTTAGGGATAGACATCAATAGTAAGAGGAAACCACTGAGAATTAGAGATCAGAGATGCTGAGACTAAATTTTCATTTTTGCTCTAATCTGCATCTGTATCTTCATGACAGTAAAATGTCATTTGCCTCTATATCCTGGTTATGATAAATTGTGGAGACAACATCATCAATGTAATATTGAAAGATTACTAAGAAAAGAATAAATACCACACCAGCAACATAGTTGGGAATTTTGCTTCTTTAATATATGTCTTCTGGTTAGCTACTCACTTCATTTGAGTTTTCATATTTTCTCTTCTAAACAGTTTTATTAGTACCACCATCAACTCTACATTCATGGATATTTAATGGTGGCAACAGAGTGTAGATTAAAACAGAAGGAAAAGGCAGAACTTCCCACAAACAGGTCAAACGAAGGCCAGCATGAAGGCTACGGGAGGATCTGCAGCCAGGGAGAGCAAAGACATCTTGACACGTTCGTCCACTTTGTACAGATCATGGTCAGAAAACACCGTAAGAACTGCAGCACTTCATAAAGTCTGCATGATAAAAGGATGGAGTGTCAGGACTCGTTTTACCCCTTTCAAGTTTTAATGCTAGTCTTACTCAGAAAATTTAAAAATAGGGAGAAAACAGCCAGAAAAATCAAACAAAATTACACACACACAAAAACAATCAGTCCTTAGAAATTTGTTTGCTGTGAAAATGCAACTTTGAAAGTATCTGGATAAATCTGATGAAACTTTAATCTCTGGAAGAAATCACCAGAAAGAGTTTTAAATATTTAAATCCTTGAAATTTGAGGATGTATATGAATTTCTAGTCCCTCAGAATCATTCTCAGCACATATAAACTTAATCATTTTCCCTCTCCCTTCTTTATTCACATATTTTCTAATTACTGATACTAGTTTTTCCACTTAAATTGCCTCTATCCTGCTCTCTGCCCATCCAAATTATGCAATTCCTTTATCATATAATTTCTAAAGAATAACTCCAATTGCAAATTTTTCCATTCCCTACAATCCCAAATTTCTTGTTTTTGTTTGACTCTTATCTTTTAGTAAATTTGTCATATTTTTCTCTAGTTGTTTTATAAAAGACATTTATAAAAGACTGGGATTTCCTCCAAATCCCAGTCATTCCATTCATCAGCTGTATGACTTTGGAGATGTCATTTAATCTTCATGTGCTTCAATTTTCTCATCTTTCAAATGAGCATAATTATACCCATCTCATAGAACTGCTGTACAAATTAAGGAATAGAGTGTACATTGCAAACATAACTCAGTTCTTGTCTTATACTAATAATTCAATGACTATTAATGATTATTATATACTTACCTAATTATGAATCCCCAGATATATTACAATTGTTTTCTATACACAGTTTATAATTATATTTGTAATAATAAATATTTATTAGAGGATAGTAAACAAAATGTGACTGCTCTGAAATCAGCTCAGGTCCTCTATTTACTTTTCTGATCCTCTCATTTGCCCTGTGTCATGTTCTTCTTGTGATCCTGACTTAGTAGGGTTCATGTACTTAGTTGGCCAGCTCTATTTTCAAATTGTGTCATCTGAGTTATGGACTTAGACCATGTGAATGACCATGTGAGTGACAGTGAGAAATGATGGGGATAAAAACTTGTTTCACAGCTAAACGTAAGAATCACTAAATTCAAAACTGATTTTAGTATCCATTCATTAACACTTCTAATTTCTTCATTTGCTTACAGAATAACAATTCTTTTGGTATGCAGAGGTCATCCTTCTCTTTGAATTATAATTGCATACATGTCACATAAGATGTCAGCTGGACTAATTTCTTCTTTACCATTGTCTCTCAAATCTATCCATTAAATCTGTATCTATCTGAAAACATTAAGGCAGACATATAGAAAATAGTTCAGTGTCCTCCGATCTCTAAGTTTCAAACTATTATTCTTACTTACAATTGATCTCTCATCTTCAAAACAACCTAGCTGGTTTGGAGAACAGCCTTTCCGTTGTTAAAATGTGGCCATGTACATTTCAGTTCAAAATTCTTCAGTGGCTCTCCATATTCTGACACATTATATTAAAATGCACCCTTGGACTCAGGCCTCATATAACAAGCACTTGAACCAATGCAGACATATTCACTGATGCAACCAAACTTGTGACCGTCCCCCTTGACTCCTTGTATTTAGGCTGATGCGAAATGCCATTGTTGTTTTGTATCCTGTAAGGATCATCTCAAATGCAAAAATGTCCTTAAGTATTTCCTGCTCTCCTTTCTTACTGATCATCCAGAATGTTTTATTTGTAATTTCTTGATGATATACTCATTTATATATATGACACATATATATGATATATCATGTATATATGATTTGATAATTTTTTCATGATATACTCATACATATATACTCATATATAGATATATATCCATATATGGGAGAGATAGAGATTTTTTTTCTGTCTTTTTTGTACTTGACATGTTTTCCTGACTATATCGATTACATACTTTTTTGAAAGAGTCAGCATGTGACTTTTAGAAGTAAAAGCATATGTTAAATATAATAGATATTTACTATGTGTTAATCAGTTTGAATTTAGTTGAAACCAGCAATCATGAAGCTTTTTCCTTTGGTGCTCTGATATGTTATTCCTAGATTACATTAGCATTTTTATCGTTATTTTTCACCTATGACCTCAATCAGTTTCACTCATATTTCAGCACAACCAAACCCATATACATCATTTACTAATTCAGAGCCCAAGAGGTCAAAGCAGAGTCAAAATATGCCCTATTGGCAGTTTTAGGGTTTTATTGCTAATTCTCAAATTGATGTAACTGATTAACCAATAAATAAATACATTTATTTTACTTACTAAAAACTAATGGACTTTAAATATGTCACTTCATACCCTTGTGACCTGGTTTGTTCAACCAGATCAAGAGAATTAAAATACTTGCATATAAACTCCATAGTACTTCAATGACAATTAGATGCATATTTCCTTTGTAAATTAAAAAAAAACCTATACAAGACCATATATAATACAAAAGCAGTAGCTGCAATATTAGTAGGACTACTCACATGGTAAAATTACATAGAAGTGATTTTAGAAACTTCTGGGACTTCTCCTTTTTTAAACCTTGTCATTTTGTATCTCTATAATGCCACTCTTCATTCAAACTGGTGCTATCCAATTCCTTTCTTCTCCCATTTCTCACCTGGGACAGTGAGTCTTTAGGAATAGAGCCTTAAAAATATGATTACATTTTGTGTTGTATCCCCAAAGAAATGGAACACATATCACTGCCAGTTGATTAGAAGATTATTATATAAATAAATTTTGATTCAATACTGAGAAATAATTTTATCTTTACATATATGTTTCTGAATCCAATTTTGCCTTATCTATTATGGTCAGAGGAAGACTTCTTCTGTGTTGTAGGATTTCTTATAGAAGAATGCTTCTTAATCAGTATTCAAGTAATTCCTTGTCCAATTAAATTCCTAAAAAGACAGTTTTAGAATGCTACCTTCATTCTGTCTGGATTGTTTTCTTACTAGAGTCTCTTTCAGAATCTCATTTAGTTAGAACTCAGAAAATGTTCTAAATCTGAAGAAAGCTGTGTTTCTTTTCCTACATTTAAAAATTAGTAATAACATTTTCACAATCTTTATATTTTCCTACTGCTTCTCTTCCAGTAGGCACAGCTATTTGTTTCTATTAAGTGCCATTAAGTTTCTGGGATAAGTTTGGAAAGTTATGAATAAAATTAATTATATACTTTACCCGATGAAAACAGTAAAGTTATTAAAGAAGTATATGTAGCCTGTTCCCCTGGTGTTCCATATACTTCATTTGTGCCTAAATATTGAAAATATGTAGGAAATAGAGGTAAAGTGAGTAATAAGGAAATAATAGCAGTAGATAAACTCATAAAGTAGAGTTAAGAGAGAAGAAAAATGGAAAGGAAAGAAAAACAATAAGACAGAAAAAAGAAATACATAAAGATAGTAAATTTTTGTCTAGTACATAATAATAGTCACATAAGTAACTGTCAAATATACAAATACAAAAAGAAATGGAAGAAAAATAGAAAATAAAAATGAAAGATCTAAGACTAAATTCAGTAATTCAGCTTAAATGTCTAGAAAGGACAGCAGGGAGTACTTGCCTTTCTGACTGTATAAGAATAAAACGGAAATAGGAGAGTTTAATTTGCCTAAATCAGAAGTTAAAAATATGCTGATGATCCCCTTGAGGGTGAAAACCTGGAGATGGGAGACAGAAGAATCTATAGATCTCTGGCAAATGGGGTGCACAAAAAAACGAAGAGTGATCAGAGAAGTATCTGACCACATGGTTTAAGAACACATGAAGCCCATTATTTTAAATGTTTACATCTTAATACACTCTTCATTGACTTTCTAAGCATGGCTCTAATATAATATGTTAATAAACAAAACTGAAACAATATTTAGATTTTCATTCTACCTGACTTATTTTATATACTTCTTAAGAACTTTTGCTATAGGTTTAATTCCATGCTCTCTATCTATCAGATTCCCTTGTTCCAAATTGTCATAGATTTAAACAACATTTTGTTGCTGTTGTTGTTGTTTGTTTGTTTTTGGGTTTGGTTTTGTTTTTGAGACAGAGTCTTGTTCTCCCACCCAGGCTGGAGTGCAGTGATGTGATCTCAGCTCACTGCAACCTCCACCTCCCAGGTTCAAGCGATTCTCCTGTCTCAGCCTCCAGAGCAACTAGAATTACAGATGTGCACCACCATGCCCAGCTAATGAATTTAAACAACCTTTGATTTATCTGAGTGGTAGGCCTTTTAGAGCTAAATTTTCTCAAAAATCAGTATCTTAATATCTACAATCTTTGTAATGGAAATAGCAGTTTCAATCCAGAAAAGTGGTTTAAAAAAGTACACCTAAAAATA